AGTCTGGAGGGTCTGCGTTGTTATTAAGAGTGGTCCAGTCCCTGTAGAACCAAAGCAGGAGCTGTGTTCACAGTCTTGGCACAAAGTTGAGTTTGTTCTCAGTGTTGGACTCCAGGGTGTCCCTTTCTCTGATCCTGTTTGTAGTGTTTATGGACAGGATCTCAAGGTACAGTCYTGGAGAGGAGAGGGTCTGGTTTGGGGACCACAGGGTCTCATCTCTCCTATATGCAGATGATGTGGTTCTGTTGGTTCTTCGGACCAAGATCTTCAGCGTGCACTGGAGTGGTTCACAGCTGGGATGAAGGTGAGTTCCTTTAAGTCTGAGGTCATGGTTCTCAACAGGAAAAGGAGGGAATGCCCCCTCCTGCTCGGYGGAGAGTCTCTGCCTCAAGTGGAGGAGTTTCAYTATCTGGGTMTCTTGTTCCTGAGCGATGGTAGGATGGAGCGGGAGATAGATCGACAGWTTAGGGCCTTGTCCTCAGTAATGAGGGCGTTGCTCCTGTCAGTCGTGGTGAAGAAAGAGCTGAGTCTAAAGGTAAAGCTCTGGATTTACTGGTCTGTCTTCTCTCCAACTCTCACCTGTGGTCATGAGGCGTGGATCGTGACCAAAATAACAAGATTCCAGATACAAACGGCTGAAATGAGTTTCATTCATAGGATGGCCGGGCTCAGCCTTAGAGATAGGGTGAGGAGCTCTGCCATCCGGGGGAAGCTCAGAGTAGAGCCGCTGCTCCTCCACATCAAAAGGAGTCAGTTGAGATGGTTCATCTGGTTAGGATGCCTCCCTTTAGAGGTGTTCCACATGTCCACTGGGAGGAGGTCCAGAGGAAGACCCAGGACTCGCTGGAAGGATTGTGTATCCTCTCTGGTCTGGGACCACTCGGGGTCCCCCAGGATGAGCTGGAATGTGTCGCTGGGGACAGGGAGGTCTGGGTTTCTCTCCTGGACCTGTTGCCTCCATGACCCAACCATGGAAGACAGAAGAAGTAGACGTAGTAGCAGAAGAATCAGAGTTTTTGGACATTCTGTATTACCCCAGTCTGAGTTTTCAGGACGTTGTTTTTATTTTAAGCATGTAGAGCCATGTTTGTGAACTCTGAAATAACCAGCCTGACTTGTGTTGCTGGGATCCAGGTGCTGGTGCGCTCTGATGGGTCAGGTGACCTGTACAGCACGGTGGTGGTGGACGATGGCGGTGCTGTCAGCTCTGACCTCCTCTTGGACAAGAGCCAGCAGCATGTTTATGTTTTAACTGACAACCAGGTAAAGAATGTCCCTCCTTCTCTGTGTCTCAGCCCCTGTCTTCAACATGTCCTCTGTTCTTCCTCTTGTCATCCTTTTCCAAACTTCTATTGTTGTCCACCTTGTGTCCTCATGCCCGGTCAGAACTGAAGCTGTCTTCTGTCTGTTTCAGCTCTCAAAGGTTCCTGTCTCATCCTGTGAGAGACAGAAAGACTGCCAGTCCTGTTTGACCACCAGAGACCCTTACTGTGGCTGGTGTGTCTTGGAGGGAAGGTTGGTTTATTCATTATGTCTGTTTTGTTTTTCAGTCTGAACCTTCTTCTTTTGATGTCCTGTAGATGTTGATCAGGTGTTTATTGGTTATTGATTGTTGATGTTGATAGGTGTTCCCATAAACATCAGTGTCAGCGCCACCTATTGGCCAACCAGTGGCTCTGGAGCTTTGAACCAAACAATCAGTGTGTTACAGTCCAGACGCTGCAACCAGCCAATCAGAGCAAAGCGGAGCAGACACAGGTATTGATTACTGATTGTTGATTATGTACTGATCACTTGTTTCCTCTAAAGCTGGGATGGAACCACCCAGAACTGTGGCACTGTCTGTGTTTTCAAGGTAACGTTGTCAGTCCTCCAGCTTCCCGTCCTCCTGGGTGTGGAGTCTCTTTCCTGTGTCTTTGGGCACCTCCTACCTCAGCCTGCTGTTGTCCAGGGAACAAGTGTCACTTGTGAATCCCCTCCACCAGAGCTCCTTCCAGCCCTGCCAACAGGAAGTGGTGAGTCCACATTTCTGTAGGAATCTTTGGTGTTCCAGACCCCCTGCTGATTAACCTGTGTCTCTGCAGATCACATGGTCCTGCCGTTGTCTCTGATGTTTGGTCACGTGACCGTCACCACAGGAAACATGACGTTCTACGACTGTGGTGCTGTGAGCCGACTGAACCAGAGCTCCCAGTAAGACCTCCAATCAGGATGGGTTTTATTCTTCTGAGGGGAAAGAACAACAGAGAGAAAACAAAAAAAATTTAAGAATGATTTCAAAGAATAATGAATCATTGCTTCAGAAATGTTGAGTGTCCCAACATCCATCAGCTTGATAGAAGTTCTTCTAGAGAAGCAGCAGATTGTTCTGACACGAAGGAACCTCCACCAAGACCAGAACTAGAACCAGGACCGGAACCAGGACCGGAATTAGAACCAGAACTAATCAGAAGTTGTAGTTTGTATGGTCCAGGTTTGTTCTAGAAACTAAATTATTCTGGACTGTTGGGTTCAGGTGTCCTTGGCCCTCCCCTTTTCAAAAGGTTCCTTCTTCTACTTGGGAGTTTCTTAAAAAAACATAATATGTAATTCCATTGTTATGTGGATGACACCCAGTTCTATCTGTCCATCACCCCTACCTCCACCCCCAGCCCCCTCACTGTAAAGTAAAGGTAAATGTTACCTTTAACCCCAGCCCCCTCACCGTAAAGTAAAGGTAAATGTTACCTTTAACCCCAGCCCCCTCACTYTGAAACCAGGTCCTGGTTCACCWGCAGCTTCGTCACTCTAAACCAGTGACAAAACTGAACTTCTGTTTGGTCACAGAACAGTTTTGGGTTGTTTTTGGGAGAGTTTTTTGGTGTCATCATTGATGAAAAGCTGACATGGAGACCTCATAAATCATTTAAGAACACAAATAGCTAAATTTACAGGAGTGCATAAAGGAGTTATTTAATGAGAAAGCTCTGTTTATGTATTGAAGTCTGGGAGAAAACATGCAAAACAATTACAAATCCTATTTTTATTTTACAGAAAAGAGCTGTAAGAATTATCACCAGAAAACATTACAGGGTTACACCRTGGACAGGTCTCAGTCCATCACAGGGCCCAGTTCTGTATAAGGCTCATAAAAACACATTACCTTCAAACATCCAATTACATTTTGTTCAAAGAGAGAGTTGTTACAATCTCAAAGGGACATAGATGTTTATAAAAGCTAAAGTTCAAAGCACTTTGAAGGAACAATCCAGGGAATAAGATTAAGGAATAATTTGAAGAGTGATGTGAAAAATGCCAGATTAATGGGTGTATTATGGACCATCTGCTGGGAGGTGGTCTGATGGTCTTTAACATGATGTCAGTCATGTTTACATAGACATAAATAGTTGGAGTAAACAGCCAATCAGAATATTCAGATCTGATTCAGCTTGGTCAGCATGAATTAGTAATCCAGATGAGAGGGGTGCTTTATGCCGATTGATCATTTGAACCACTTATTCTGATCATGTGATTCTGTGGAAAACTGGTTTGGCTGACCTGTGTCAACCTGAGGTATTTCAGAAGTAGAACTTTACCTGCAGTTGTTTCAGGGAAAGTTTACACCTCTGGCACGTCAGTACTTCTAGCCTGCTGCAAATTAAATGCTCGTTATTGGATAACACATGTTGTTCCTGTATGAKTGATACATTTGGATTATTTAATCCAGATACATTAGAATCTTATCAAAGTCTTCTGCACATGTAAACWTAGTGTCTTTTTGAGCTCTGGAGACACTCTGTCCTCAGCTTTCTGTGCTCAGTGTGGCTCGCACCATGATACCACACAGCCCTGTGACTACCTGTCAACATGTAAACACACAGAATGACTGATTCCAGAATAAAGACACCTGTGTTGCTAATTACAGGACATACCTGAGTCCAACATGTCCCTGTGGACCAGCTGGTTCCAGTCTTTTCTAAATGTGKCATCCTTTTTGTCAGTTTCATGAGTTTGTTTATAAATGTAGAGGTGCAGACCATGTTTTATGTAATAATGGTGATGATGATGATGATGATGATGATGGTGATGACAGTGGTGATGATGATGATGATGATGATGATGATGATGATGTGTATCTTTCAGGTGTTTAATTTGTGTCAGCTCCATCTGGAGGTGTAACTGGTGTCCTCTGGATCAACTCTGTACCCACAACCACAGCTGCCCCAACGAGCACATCATCCTGAATCAGAGAGTGAGTCTGTCTGTNCCCCCCCGATGTGAAGGCGGTGGATCAAATTTCTCCTGGTGTTTACGTCAACTTGTGGGTCCTACCTCCAACTCTCCCCCCCTCTGTTTAATCTGATTTTCCTGAAGGTCAATCTGGAGCTGCAAAGAATGAACAATTTCAACACCAATAYTCTGAACTTTGGCTGAACTTTGTTTTTTGTTTTTTTTCTTTTGGAATGCTGGATTATTCGGACTAATTTCCTCTAAACTCATTTACTCCTCTGGCTAATAAATGTGCTCTTGTTTGTAGAGTTTTTTTTTTTATAAACACGATATATGTTTTGTTTTTTTCCCTCATCTAACCTTCTGTGTTTTTTTTTTTTTCGTTTTTCTTTTTAAAGGAAGTGTGACCCCTGCTGGTTGCTGCATGACCTGATCATCTGTTCCCCCATGTTTGYCTTGTGTTTCTTCTTGAATGGGTGTTCTTAAATGTAATTTCATTGTGCTCTGTACAATGACAATAAAGGTATCATCAAACAATCAATCAATCAATAATCAGCTAAAAGAATAAAAAACAGCTAAAATAAGAGCTCATCTCTGAACAGATTCTCTTTTATCCCACAATCCTTTGCAGCTGCGTCTCTAACCAGAGCTGTTTCAGTTTTAATAACCAGGTMATTTTAAATGTTTAACTTTGTGTTATTTTACTGACACTGTGGGATTATTTCCCTCCTTCCTGTCCAGGTGACATCATCAGGTGTGTTCTCACCTGGATATGGAGCTCTCAGAGGTCAGGTCTTTAGGAGATCGCATCGTGTTGAAGTTTCTCTTGGGTTGTGACACTGCAGGACACAAACAAACAAATGTAAACAATACTCCCATCATTACCATAAAATATAAATATAAYGTCATGCTGATGATAAATGTTTTACAGTAAAACCAGGTGACTTACTGGAGACCTGGTGGACCTTCTTCACCATGCAGGTATCACTCTGATATCCTTCTTTAGGTCCTCCGGTTCTGAAAACAACAAAAAACTGTCAGATTGAAAGTTTTCTTAAAGAAATAATCAAATTCACAACATCAAATAAACAAATGTTAGTAAAATATCTGTCAAGTGGTCGTACCTCTGAACGCGGGAGGGCGGAGCAAACACTCCATATTTGGGCAGACAGCTGAAGTATCGGACCCCAAACACCGAGCCATCGTGTTTCCCGGTGGGCTGATCCAGCTCGATACCGAACCAGTACCCTGCAGGGACACGACAAGACCAGACCAGAGACCTCAGACCTCAGACTGGAGACCTCAGACCAGAGACCTTAGACCTCTGACCAGAGACCTTAGACCTCTGACCAGAGACCTTAGACCAGAGACCTTAGACCTCTGACCAGAGACCTTAGACCTCTGACCAGAGACCTTAGACCAGAGACCTGAGACCTTAGACCAGAGACCTTAGACCTCTGACCAGAGACCTTAGACCTCTGACCAGAGACCTTAGACCAGAGACCTCTGACCAGAGACCTTAGACCTCTGCCCAGAGACCTTAGACCTCTGACCAGAGACCTTAGACCTCAGACCAGAGACCTCAGACCAGAGACCTCTGACCAGAGACCTTACACCAGAGACCTTAGACCTCTGACCAAAGACCTTAGACCAGAGACCTTAGACCTCTGACCAGAGACCTCAGACCAGAGACCTCAGACCAGAGACCTCTGGCCAGAGACCTTAGACCTCTGACCAGAGACCTTTGACCTCAGACCAGAGACCTCAGACCAGACCTCAGACCTCAGACCAGACACCTTAGACCTCAGACCAGAGACCTCAGACCAGAGACCAGAGACCTGAGGAAAGACATGAAGGGATTTACCTCCCTCCCGACAAAGCGTGTTTCTGGACTCTGGAGAACCTGGAGAAACCCACTCATGTGCACCCGTCATGCAAACTGCTCAAAAAGGTGCAGACAAGCCTCAAACCAAGGATGTGATGAACAGAACCACAGTCCAGTAGTTCTAYATGAGATTTTATAATCTCTGAATCGGATATCTTTATGTTTTACATGATTTATTACTTTTATCTCTTGTTTATTTGTAAACACTTCCTGATGCCAAATCTGTCAATTTAAGGTATAAATACAACTAAAAACTTGTTTGAGACTTAGTGTTGATAAAATCACAGTTCGATGAGATCTCTTATAAAGAAAAAAAACTTCTTATGTATGGCGCCCAACGTGGAGCTCGAACCCCTAACCCTAAGATTATGAGATTATGAAATTACGAACAACTTGTTTTCTGCAGAAAAACTGCTGAGAAATCAGGTTTATGACACAAACATCTACAATTTAAGGCAAAAATCAGATGAATTATTTAAAAGGTTTTTAGACTCTCTTTAAACAGTCATTATCCTCTCTTCCCTGTTGGTTCATCGTATGTTTCAACATCAGGTTTGTCCTCCGTGTGCCTCCCAGTTGTAATTTGCCACATGCCAGCACTTTTCTTTGTATAAATAAAACCTTTTGTTTTATTTTTATGTYCTGCCTGTTCCCTGGGTCAAAACTACCCTGAACCCCAACAATCCTGTCTTCAGCAGACTCACCTGGAGCAAAGTCCGTTTTTCCAAAGAAGCGAACAATGCCATTTTTCTGACCGGCCACTAGGACCTGGTCTCCAACCTCCACGTTTGTCCCGTCTGGATCCAGATTGGCTGAGGACTTCTTCCTCTGGGCTGAGAGCACAAAACCAACTCAGTGAGAAAACTGATCGGATTCACTCAAAACAGAAACTACAGCTTCAGCACCTTTCTCCCTCTCTTTCTCCTTTTTCTCCTTGGCCTTCTTGGTCTTTCCAGCCAGGCGGGATGCCAGATCCAAGCGGGGGGTCCGGGGGGTGGAGGTGACGGACGACGGAGTCTGATCCACAACCTTGGATATCTTTGAAACAGGAGCAAAGATCCCTGCAGACCAGGAAGAATTCAAAAGTCAGATAAAACCCTGGCATGGACACAGAAAGGGCGGAGTTTAGAAACGTGGTCAGATCACCGAGTTTGGGAGGGCAGATGAAGTAACGGACTCCACCCACGCTGCCGTCGTTCTTTCCCTCGGGTTCATCCAGCTCCACCCCGACCCACTGACCGCTGGCAAACTCTGTGGTTCCACAGAACCTCAGAGTTCCAGTCTGACAAAGAGACAGATTAGCAGATTAGCTCCAAACTGTCCTGAGGTTTCATGTGAGAGTAGACAAACGAAACTACAGTTACGCAGCATCAGTTCTCGCCCTCATGGTTCCACATGTTCTGGAGTCACAGAGCGCTCAGTGCTAAGATAAGAACCTTCATGTCGTCCAGAACAATGCGGTCTCCCAGCTTCAGGCCCAGAGCGGACAGCATCAGGTTTCCTGGGATGTTGTCGTAGTTGGGCAGCGTGGCCTTTGGAAGGTTGCAGCTGAGGGGGACGGCATCCAGCAGCAGCTGCTTCAGGTCTTTGGCCACCATGGCCGCCTCCGTTTTGTCCAGGCTCATGTCCATCGGGTCGGGGACCACCTCTGCCGGGACCTGGCCTTTATCGTTCTGCAGAAACAAACCAAACTCAGCAGGTTTCATGTAGTGTTGCTTCTGCAGGTTGAAGGTCGGGTTGAGTCTTACCCGGACGGTTGGGTTGGCTCCGTGCTCCAGCAGACACTTGACTGCGTTCAGGCAGAGGTTGGATGCAGCGATGTGGAGGGCGGTACCATAGTGGAAGTCGCTGCAGGTGGAGTTCAACACTGTGGAGAGAAGAAGAAGGTWACCTCCACTCCTCTGCAGAAAGGGGTCTCTGCAGTACACAGGGCGGAGTTTGTCCTTACTGTGATTGGAGGAGTTTTCAATAWGGGCGGAGTTTGTCCTAACTGTGATTGGAGGAGTTTTCAATAAGGGCGGAGTTTGTCCTAACTGTGATTGACAGAGGTTTTGAGTGGGCGGAGTTTGTCTTAACTGATTGACAGAGGTTTTGAGTGGGCGGAGTTTGTCCTGACTATGATTGACAGAGGTTTTGAGTGGGTGGAGTTTGTCCTGACTATGATTGACAGAGGTTTTGGGTGGGCGGAGTTTGTCCTAACTGTGATTAACAGAGGTTTTTGGATGGGCGGAGTTTGTCTTAACTGTGATTGACAGAGGTTTTGAGTGGGCGGAGTTTGTCTTAACTGTGATTGACAGATGTTTTTGGATGGGCGGAGTTTGTCTTAACTGTGATTGACAGATGTTTTTGGATGGGCGGAGTTTGTCCTAACTGTGATTGACAGAGGTTTTGGATGGGCGGAGTTTGTCTTAACTGTGATTGACAGAGGTTTTGGATGGGCGGAGTTTGTCTTAACTGTGATTGACAGAGGTTTTGGGTGGGTGGAGTTTGTCCTAACTGTGATTGACAGAGGTTTTGGATGGGCGGAGTTTGTCCTAACTGTGATTGACAGATGTTTTGAGTGGGCGGAGTTTGTCCTAACTATGATTGACAGATGTTTTGAGTGGGCGGAGTTTGTCCTAACTGTTATTGACAGAGGTTTTGTGGGCGGAGTTTGTCTTAACTGTGATTGACAGATGTTTTGAGTGGGTGGAGTTTTTCTTAATCATGATTGGTCAGATTCATATGTCTTGTGGGACAAGTTAAAAGAGGAAGTAATGGTGATACTTTAATTATTGTGAACATGCAAACATAAATTATTAACTTCAGATTTGGTGCAACCTTCCTGACTCCTGTTTTGACTAAAAAAGCTGATCTTTTCCCAGGTGGGACAGAGGACAACCATGCATGTTAGAGACAAACTCTTACCCATCCCTCCACACGTACAACATTYAAATTTTAGTGCAGCTACCATCTTCCTGTCTGAAGWTATGACTAAAATGAACATTTATATTTAAAAACGTCGGTGCTTTCTGAACGTTTCAGCAGTAACTGCAGAGACCCCCTTCTAGACCTCAGTCTGAGGTAAACCTCATGAAGGCYGGTGGTGTTCGAGCAGAGCACCTCTGGGTTTCGCTGCTTTCAGCAGGACTCGGATCAGTTCTGGGACATCAAAGTAGGCGGCGTAGTGCAGGGCGTTCATGTTGGTCCATCGGCTCCTCAGACTCACGTCGGCGCCCAGAGAGATCAGCTGACTGGTGAGTCGCAGCGCCGCCGCCGGGTCGCCTGAGGACACAACCAGAACCAAACCAAAAAACTGATCYGGGTGTAGACCATAGAGGAGCAGAACCCAGCACCCTAAACTCTGAGGTTCAGGAACCAGTTCTGTGACTCTGACCCTGACAGATGAAGGTTTGATTGATCCCTCAGCCTGAACGATTGGATCCAGAAGCTGCTTACCCACTCCGTGAGCTCCGGCCTTGCAGCTGTAGTGAAGCAGCGTCATGTCAGTCAAACCGTCACGATCGTTCACGTGACAACCACGCTTCAGGATCTGAGACACAAATCAACAAGAAATCACTTCAGTGAAAGACTGGATCAGCCTTCCAGAGACAGGAGTGACTAAATTACAAAATAAAATAAGAAAGCTGAAATTCATCAGAACTTTAGATTCTTTTATTTTGTAGGAGCAGTAAGTTCCAGGTGAAATTTAAAATGTTTAAAATGAGACTTGAATGTCCAAAAACACGTGATTAAAGATTGTGCAGCTTTAAAAAACAAACTTTTTTTTAAATTTGATCTGAGTCACTTTCATCCTAAACTTCATCTAAAAACTACGTTTGACCAAACTGTTCTGGTTTACAAGCTCAGCCACGGTGACCCAGTTAAAAAGGCTCTGTGGAGCCGGAGCAGAGAGACGTGAGGGAAATACAGAGACTGAAGTTATTCAGGCTCCATAGCATGACTCAGCATGACTCAGCATGACTCAGCCTGGAGGAGGAGGTGAGAACTGGGAGCGGCCATCACATGACTCAAATAAATCAATAAAACTAAGGATTGATTTATTGATCTTTTAATCTGTGGGGTTTGAACGGTTCTGATCGGACTCTGAGCTGAGGGCTCATCATGAACTCTGGCAGCTCTTCTGCTTTCACTTTTTCAAATACAAACAAAACGACTCGATTCTGTCGTTTAAACTTTAAGAACCAAACTGCTGAACAGAAACAGACGTTTTCTCACCTCGTTTCCAATGACGTCAATCTTGTGCTGCACCTGAGGAACCCACTGACGGACAATGGCGAACAGCTCAGGGACGGTGGTCCGAGGGTCCATGAGGATCTCCTGACAGGCCGGGTCATTTGGGTCGAAGAAGGTGAACGCTGGAGACGGAAGCATCCAGAACCGGTTAACCACCAGAGATAAACAAAAACAGATCAGTCAGAACTGTGAAAAATTCTGTTACCCTCATCAGACCAGAACCAACCTAAGAACTGCAGATTCTGTTCCTGCAGGTTCTGTTTCTGCAGGTTCTGTTCCTGCAGGTTCTGTTTCTGCAGGTTCTGTTTCTGCAGGTTCTGTTCCTGCAGGTTCTGTTCCTGCAGGTTCTGTTTCTGCAGGTTCAGCATCTCTGAGGCTGTTTTTCTGTCACTGACAACAAACTTTTACATCCAAAGAACTCAGGAGGCCTTCAGGTGACAGAAAACTGAAAGGCTCATTGGTGAATTTAAGGTGGTATGACAGTGGTTCTGGACTGAGTTCTGGTTTAGACCCGTCACTAAATCCAAGTCCTGAGTGTCAGCCAACATTAAAAGATTGAGTTGATCTTTAGCTTGATATTAAATTCAGATGTTGTTGACTGAGTTAAGGTGGAGTTAAGGTGGAGTTAAGGTGGAGTTAAGGTAGATTTAAGGTGGAGTTAAGGTGGAGTTAAGGTGGAGTTAAGGTAGATTTAAGGTGGAGTTAAGGTGGAGTTAAGGTAGATTTAAGGTGGAGTTAAGGTGGAGTTAAGGTGGAGTTAAGGTGGAGTTAAGGTAGATTTAAGGTGGAGTTAAGGTGGAGTTAAGGTGGAGTTAAGGTGGTCTGCCGTACCGTAGTCTTTGGGTAGTGGTGCCTGGGCCGAGGGGTGCACCATGGCTCGGCGGGGCGGCTCATGGACTGGACTCTGGTACTCAGACACGGAGGTGGGCTCTGGCACCAGGTCAGCTGGAGGATCCTCCTCCTCAACCTCCCTCTCCTCTTGCTCCTCCYGCTCTTCCTCCTGCTCGGCCTCCTCCTCATCGTCCAGCTCCGCCCTCTCCTCCTCTAGCCCGTATTCCTCCTCCTCTTCCTCCTCGTCCTCCTCTTCAGTCTGAGCTTCCTCCTCGTCTCTCTGGACCCGGCCCTCCTCTTGCTCCTCGCAGTCCCGTCGCTCCTTCTCCTGCTCCTGCAGGTTCTCCTCTTTAGTCATGATGAAGGAGGCTGCAGCTGGGCCTGTCAGAGGAGGAGCAGGAACAATCAGCACATCTATGAACCTTCATCAGTTATTTATTTTACTAGCAGCAGGACTGAGGAGCTAATGGCTAGTCTTAACGCAGAACAGACCAAACTAATTTAAAATCTTTAAACTCTGTTTCAAAATTTCAACAAATCTGCTCACATTTTTTTACTGTTTTATTGTTATTTAGCTCACTGTTATTATATTAGTTTGTTTTTACTCAGTGTTGAATTTAAATAATGGAATAATAATGTATTTAAATATTNATTTTATAAATCACAACCTTGGTGTGAAAAGTTGCGTACGCAAGTTTCTGAGCTTGTTTTGTGCGTACGCAAGCTTTATAAATCCGACCCCTGGTCCTTAATCCCMGCTTTTTAGTCCCATGTTGCAGCAGGATGAAACAGGTGGAGATTRCACCTGCTGACAGAATAACTGTTTGTGRTGTCAGCCAATGACATTAGAGGGTGSTCCCTATAAAAGCACAGGTAAAACTGCTGGCTCAGATTTGTTGTCTAAGATACGACACGGTCTGCTCCAGTGTTGTGCTGTTTGTGTGACAGGTGAGGTTGGCTGCCTGCACACTGGTAACTGTTTTAACATGGWTGTTTATWGACCTCTGCACCGGCAGGTAAGTGTCGGTGTGTTTTACTTCCCCAGTTGATTGTGGGTGTAGTGGCTGTTGTGACCAGTTTGTGCCCTTATGTCAGGGGTCCCCAAACTTTTYCCTGTAAGGGCCACATAACTTTTCCCATCTCTGGTGGGGGGCGGAGTCAGTTWGTAACAGAAAAAGTGTGACTATTGCAGGAGTGCCTAAATGTAAAAATGTATTGTTTTCCAGAAARCACAATCAAATAAGCCTCTSTGGGTTCTTCACAGTCTGTATTCTGCTGAGCTKACAGWWCAYMTTTYAGCTTTGAGAGTTTGTTTGCTCACATTTGTCCATGAAGCTGTCATACTTGTCTTTGTGACAGGATTCATAGTGTCGCCGCAGATTGTATTCTTTGAATACCRCCACCGCCTCTTTACAGATGAGCAAAACAACAATCGTTTGTCCACTGCAGCTTATGAATCAATGTTTCTCTTACCTGATCTTTTCACCATTATTCTGTTCTCTCTTTGAGAGGGGCGAGTTTAGGATGTTTTTTCTGGGGGTTGCCAGATAGGAGCACAGACCGCAGAAGGGTGGAACAGAACGTCATGTTATATGTGTTTATGTATGAAATAGTTAATAATGAAAATATTTCATAACTAAGGAACATTTTATTGCAAAAGTACAACTTTATAATCAAATATAAATACACGTATATGAAAAAAAAAAACCTAAATGCTTTTTGGTATTGTTGGGCCGGACTAAATGGGGAGGCGGGACGGATCCGGCCCGCAGGCCGTAGTTTGGGGACCACTGTTTTACCTGCTCAGCAGTGGAACTAATCACATTGTTGACGACGGACCGTTTTTAACAAAACCTGCTTTTATTCTTTGTGCCTGTATTTTAGAAATTGTTGTTTGTGTATTTATGTAAATTTTAATTTTTTCTAATTTTCTTTTTTAGCTCGTTGCTGAGGACCGGTGACGATGGTGCAGTYGACCTGGAGGGTGGCGTCCCCTTTTTGTGTGCCTGCTGCAGCGATTAACACCGATGGAGGGAACCCCAGCAGTCAATGTGGTTTCACTGGTGTTTGCACTGGTTTTCTTTTGGGAGATGTCCACCCAGAGCAGGTCTGTAGGCACCAGTAAGCCTCAGCTCAGCGTTATTTATTATCAATTATTAATAATAATATTGCTAATATTATATTGCTAATAATAATTAGCAATGCACACTGTGATTCGTTTGATTCRTTTCCCATCCAAGTCATCCCAACTTTGCCATGCTTCTCCTCCTGCGTACTTTGTCCTACAGCTGCCATTGTAATTTATATCTGTAAAGCTCCTGTGCCAAATGACTGCTATGCCTTTTGGTACCTGTACAACTTGTAGTTTTTGAAATATTAATGTTTAAACTTTATTCCAAATTCATATAATGAGAGTCAATGGGGCCTTGTAATGGTCCAATACTGCCCCCAGCCGTACTCAACTTGGTACTGCACCATAGTTTTTTATATTTAATCTCAACAGTTCAGTGTTTACAATACTAATATGATTGTATTTTGATGTTTTACTATATCATTATCTTAATATTGCTCTATTGTTGTAATATTATGCGTTTTGTGTCAATAATTGTATTGGCAATGTGGCCTCTTTCTGCACACATACAAACCAACCCCT